ACATCTCAAGACATCAGTCAGGAAGTTAAAGCTTGATCGCAAATGGGTCTTCCAAATGGACAATGACCCCAAGCATACTTCCAAAGTTGTGGCAAAATGGCTTAAGGCCAACAAAGTCAAGGTATTGGAGTGGCCATCACAAAGCATTGACCTCAATCCTATAGAAAATGTGTGGGCAGAACTGAAAAAGTGTGTGCGAGCAAGGAGGCATACAAACCTGACTCAGTTACACCAGCTCTGTCAGGAGGAATGGGCCAAAATTCTCCCAACTTTATTGTGGGAAGCTTGTGGAATGCTACCTGAAACGTTTGACCCAAGTTAAACAATTTAAAGGCAATGCTACCAAATACTAACTGAGTGTATGTAAACTTCTGACCACTGGGAATGTGATGAAAGAAATAAAAGCTGAAATAAATCATTCTCTCTACTATTATTCTGACATTTCACATTCTTAAAATAAAGTGGTGATCCTAACTGACCTAAGACAGGGAATGTTTACTAGGATTAAATGTCAGGAATTGTGAAAAACTGAGTTGAAATGTATTTGGCTAAGGTGTATGTAAACTTCCGACTTCAACTGTAGGTGAGTAGCTGTCTGTAGGGCCGGACTGGCCTTGCTCGTCCCGCTGTGCTTGTACATTTGGTCGGTGTGATGGCTCGGCTGTTATTTAGAACAGATTAATAGATAACTTGTTTGCTAGATGAATTTGGAGTAATGCATTGACTGGGCTGATGTTCTGGACTCCAACAACAACACACTGATACAATCAGCAGTGCAAACACATAGGTTGTAAAAAAGGCTTTTTGGGCAAAAATAATAATTATCTGCCTTTGCATTGTGTTTAGTTTGCAAAATGTCAAACTTCTCTCCATAAAGAGCTCGACTTAGACCTTGATTTTGGCTCCTACACATGTTAATTAAGAAATGCTAGCGGCCTACAGGCTCTCGCCAATTTATGAATGAAACAGTTAACTCCAGGAGATCGTTGTTTTTCTCCTAATCTGAGCCAAGACGTAACTTCATATGCAGACGTCCCCCATCTATGGATTTCACATAACTGGGCAGAGGTGCAGCCATGGGTGAGCCCACTGGGGAGCCAGGCCCAGCCAATCAGAATTATTTTCCTCCCACAAATGGCTTTATTACAGACAGAAATACTCCTCCATGTTGTGTTTATATTTTTATTCAGTGTACTTAATGGCAAATAAACCTGGTAAATATCTTGCAGCTCTCACTAAATGAATACATGCTAAACCAGTTATAATTTAAGAAGATAAAGATAAAAGAGCAGTAATTAGAAACAACGCAATTAATGACAATTTTAAAAGCTTCTATGAAAATTTATATAAATTAGAATTAAACAACACTTAGTTGTCCTATAGCCTTCTTAGATTCCATAACTCTGAAGCAATTATCAGCAGACAAAAAAATAATCACTAAAAACAGAGATCAACCAAGAACAAATGTTAGATACTGTTAAAACATTCACACTGAGAAAATCACCAGGAATGGATGGCCAACCAAATAATTATATTCAACATTTTGGCACAAAGTAGCCCCCCTATTTACACAAATGACAACACACATGTCACTCAAATCAGTACTTCCTAGTTCCATGTATCAAACAGTTAATTCAGTTATATTAAAACCAGGAAAATCTGGAGAGTCCCCTGCCGATTATAGACACATAGGTTTAATAAATTGTGACAATAAAATAAAAACAAAACATATAAGAAATAGAATGGCAAAAGTCTTAACAGACATGATACATATCAATCAAACAGGGTTTATAAAAAATATACACAAACAAATACAAGAACATGTTTCAGTTTAATACAATACACAAAACAAGAAGATAAAGATGTATCAATAATGACTGTTGATGCTGAAAAGGCTTTCGACCATCTTGAATGGCCTTTTCTATTCAAAACCTTGGAAGCTTTCAACTTTCCAGCTAAAATATTACATTTAATAAAATAATTGCATAAATGTTCTAAAGCAAACATATACACAAATAATACATTTTCTGATGAAATTGCTTTAGAAAGGGGCACAAGACATGGATGTCCCCTCTCCCCCCTTCTGTTCGCACTGGCAATTGAACCGCTTGCAGAAATATTTTTTATTTTTTAATGTCATTTTATTTCACCTTTATTTAACCAGGTAAGCCAGTTGAGAACAAGTTCTAATTTACAACTGCGACCTGGCCAAGATAAAGCAAAGCAGTGCGATAAAAACAACAACACAGAGTTACATATGGGGTAAAACAAAACATAAAGTCAAAAATACAACAGAAAATATATATACAGTGTGTTCAAATGTAGCAAGTTATGGAGGTAAGGCAATAAATAGGCCATAGTGCAAAATAATTACAATTAGTATTAACACTGGAATGATAGATGTGCAAGAGATGATGTGCAAATAGAGATACTGGGGTGCAAATGAGCAAAATAAATAACAATATGGGGATGAGGTAGTTGGGTGGGCTAATTTCAGATGGGCTGTGTACAGGTGCAGTGATCGGTAAGGCGTTCTGACAACTGATGCTTAAAGTTAGTGAGGGAGATAAGAGTCTCCAGCTTCAGAGATTTTTGCAATTCGTTCCAGTCATTGGCAGCAGAGAACTGGAAGGAATGGCGGCCAAAGGAGGTGTTGGCTTTGGGGATGACCAGTGAGATATACCTGCTGGAGCGCATACTAAGGGTGGGTGTTGCTATGGTGACCAATGAGCTAAGATAAGGCTGGGATTTGCCTAGCAGTGATTTATAGATGGCCTGGAGCTAGTGGGTTTGGCGACGAATATGTTGTGAGGGCCAGCAAACGAGAACGTACAGGTCACAATGGTGGGTAGTATATGGGGCTTTGGTGACAAAACGGATGGCACTGTGATACACTACAGCCAATTTGCTGAGTAGAGTGTTGGATGCTATTTTTTAAATGACATCGCCGAAGTCAAGGATCGGTAGGATAGTCAGTTTTACGAGGGCATGTTTGGCAGCATGAGCGAAGGAGGCTTTGTTGCGAAATAGGAAGCCGATTCTAGATTTCACTTTGGATTGGAGATGCTTAATGTGAGTCTGGAAGGAGAGTTTACAATTAATTAATTAATTAGACAGGATCCAAATGTAACAGGTATCAGTATTGGTAAATATCAATTTAACTATATAAACTTATTTGCTGATGTTCTCCTGATATACCTGACCAATATTGAAAACTCAATGCTCCCTTCGCTAAAAATATTTTCTGAATACACAAAAATCTCAGGATGTAAAATTAAGGTGGAAAGAAATTAAACAATGACAATAGGAATCCTTTAAGTGGACCACAACAAATATGAAATACTTAGGATGCATAATAAGTGACAACAAACAACAATATGAAGCAGATCTAATTAAATGGAATAATCTTCCCATAAATCTTACATGTAGAATAAACCTCTTTAGAATGGCATGACTGCCAAAGTTTTTGTATTTATTTTCGGTAACACCGAAGACATTCTTTAAAAAAGTATAAAGTAGACTTTATATGGGCAAATAAAATTCATAGAATAAAAAGGAAAGTTTTACATCTTCCTAAATCTGAGGGTGGTTTTAACCTTCCAGACTTGGAATTGTATCAACTCGCTACCCAAGGCTTTTACTTGCAACATATATTTAAATGCACTAAAGAGGAACAATGGGTACATATTTAAGCTGTGCATGCTCATCCCCTGAATCTTTTTACGTGTCTATTTTCAAAGGATAAAGCTAAGAACATGAACAAATTCATAGTTAAGAACACTATAACAATTTGGAAGAAAATGAAACGTATTCTACAAGAACCAATATCACTCCATAAAAACACAACCTTATGGAATAATATTTTCAGAATTCACAGAAAAATTGGTCCACATGGAAAACATAAATAGAAAGGCATAGAAACCGTACATTACTTGGTAACAGGAAGTACTTTTATTTCCATGACAGAATTAAAAAGTAATTTTGGACTAACTGTAGATAGTTTCAAATACATGCAACTTAAAAGTTACATATCACGAAATTTCGATTTGAAATCTTTTGGACATCAGAGCAACCTTGAGGGAATCTTATTTAAGTCAGAAAAGGATGTTCATATGATAGGGAAGATATTCGAAACCTTGCAGAGAGCCTATCCAACTGACAATCTCTTAGAAAAAATTAACATAATGGCAAAATCTAAATATTTATTATTGAAATAGCATGGGCAACCGAGAAAAACAAATTGGTACAATTTAAGGCCAATTGGCAAACAATAATGTAGGTACTAGGGATGGAGGTGTGAGCATGTGGGTCTGGGCAGATGAGATGTAGTCATCGTTTGTGTGTCTGTAAGTTGTTGTTCATATGTATAAGTTTGTATCTGGAGTGGGATTTTTTTTTACAAAATAGAAAACAATATATATTATACTTTTTCGTTTTTATGTATTTGGTTCAAGAAATTGATTGATATTATCATACAAGCACCTACAGCGCACAGGTTGCTGTTTATTCTAAACATGAATCCATAATACAAAGAGAACTGCTTACAAAAAGCACATAAAATCAAAACACATTGAAATGGCAAAAAAATATAACTAAATCACTAAACAGTCATGTCATTTCTTACATTTCTTCATGAAGTTATTTTCAAAATTACGTACAATTTTCATATTGAAACCTTACAAGTGTTATCCATTGTTTTACTTCAGGTGGTGCATCATGTAAGAATGACACCACCTGTCAGTATGCTATGGTTTCTAACTCCATAAAACACAGATAGCTGTACAGTAAGGATTCTATACATTCCATAATGTTTATATGACCTCTAACCCAATACATTGCAGTTTAATAAAATGCAGTGGCTATAAAAAATATGTTTTGGCTAGTTCAAAGTTTTTCTTCTATATATCTCCATAAATAATTCAGTACATAGATAAATAAATATTCTGTATGTGGATTAAAACTCTTCATACAAAGCTTGATTTAATAATACATGTCATTATAAATGCAGAAATCATACGGTCTGGGGGGTGACCCTGATGTCTGGTATAGACTGGGTGAAGGCTGTGTTGAGTTAGCCTGGTTCAACTAGACTGAACGCTGCACTCACCATTGTTTGTGCTCACCAGCGTTCAGTCTGGTTCAATCAGGCTAGCATTGAGTTGCGTGCAGACTGGCATGGACACGGCGGGAGCACCTATGGCCCATAGGCGCTGCCCCCATACCCACTGCCAGGGCCAGTCTCTAGCTCACCTGGCATTCATTCTTGCTGCAGGTGGCCTGACGCTCGATCTGCCACGTGCCCTCCTCATACGTGCAGTAGCAGATTGTACACTCATCAATCTTCACCTCGCGCCCAGCTGGGATCACTTGTGTGTCTGCATAACAGTTTGGCCCTGGCAAAAGAAGAATCAAGGTAAGTGTTAAAGTGTTCTCAGTCAATCTCAATGATCTTGTATACAGTCAATCCAAGAGCTGATCTACCCTGAAAAATAGCTTAGTCGGATTGTAGATGGAGTGGATGGGCTGGCACCTAGCCGAACTCGGCTGGGCGAACCGAACAAGTGTGCTTGAATGACAACAAACACTTAATTGAAGAATCCCTACTGTTTACCAACCACCAACGAAGGGACGTAGACTTCGGCTGCCAAATTCGGCTTGCCTCACTGAAAAAATGTGTGCATGAACAACCAAAAAAAACCTTACTGAAGACCAAAACAAACCAGAACGTCACCAAATGTTGTCATAATATACAGTGGGGAAAAAAAGTATTTAGTCAGCCACCAATTGTGCAAGTTCTCCCACTTAAAAAGATGAGAGAGGCCTGTAATTTTCATCATAGGTACACGTCAACTATGACAGACAAATTGAGAATATTTTTTTCCAGAAAATCACATTGTAGGATTTTTAATGAATTTATTTGCAAATTATGGTGGAAAATAAGTATTTGGTCACCTACAAACAAGCAAGATTTCTGGCTCTCACAGACCTGTAACTTCTTCTTTAAGAGGCTCCTCTGTCCTCCACTCGTTACCTGTATTATTGGCACCTGTTTGAACTTGTTATCAGTATAAAAGACACCTGTCCACAACTTCAAACAGTCACACTCCAAACTCCACTATGGCCAAGACCAAAGAGCTGTCAAAGGACACCAGAAACAAAATTGTAGACCTGCACCAGGCTGGGAAGACTGAATCTGCAATAGGTAAGCAGCTTGGTTTGAAGAAATCAACTGTGGGAGCAATTATTAGGAAATGGAAGACATACAAGACCACTGATAATCTCCCTCGATCTGGGGCTCCACGCAAGATCTCACCCCGTGGGGTCAAAATGATCACAAGAATAGTGAGCAAAAATCCCAGAACCACACGGGGGGACCTAGTGAATGACCTGCAGAGAGCTGGGACCAAAGTAACAAAGCCTACCATCAGTAACACACTACGCCGCCAGGGACTCAAATCCTGCAGTGCAAGACGTGTCCCCCTGCTTAAGCCAGTACATGTCCAGGCCCGTCTGAAGTTTGCTGGAGTGCATTTGGATGATCCAGAAGAGGATTGGGAGAATGTCATATGGTCAGATGAAACCAAAATAGAACTTTTTGGTCAAAACTCAACTCGTCGTGTTTGGAGGACAAAGAATGCTGAGTTGCATCCAAAGAACACCATACCTACTGTGAAGCATGGGGGTGGAAACATCATGCTTTGGGGCTGTTTTTCTGCAAAGGGACCAGGACAACTGATCCGTGTAAAGGAAAGAATGAATGGGGCCATGTATAGTGAGATTTTGAGTGAAAACCTCCTTTCATCAGCAAGGGCATTGAAGATGAAACGTGGCTGGGTCTTTCAGCATGACAATGATCCCAAACACACCGCCCGGGCAACGAAGGAGTGGCTTCGTAAGAAGCATTTCAAGGTCCTGGAGTGGCCTAGCCAGTCTCCAGATCTCAACCCCATAGAAAATCTTTGGAGGGAGTTGAAAGTCCGTGTTGCCCAGCGACAGCCCCAAAACATCACTGCTCTAGAGGAGATCTGCATGGAGGAATGGGCCAAAATACCAGCAACAGTGTGTGAAAACCTTGTGAAGACTTACAGAAAACGTTTGACCTGTGTCATTGCCAACAAAGGGTATATAACAAAGTATTGAGAAACTTTTGTTATTGAACAAATACTTATTTTCCACCATAATTTGCAAATAAATTCATTAAAAATCCTACAATGTGATTTTCTGGATAGTTTTTTCTCATTTTGTCTGTCATAGTTGACGTGTACCTATGGTGAAAATTACAGGCCTCTCTCATCTTTTTAAGTGGGAGAACTTGCACAATTGGTGGCTGACTAAATACTTTTTTTCCCCACTGTATGCACAAACTGTTCCGAACTGTTTCGGATGGTAAGCATGCGGACGCCTTAACACAGTAGAATATCGGTAAGAACACTGGAGAGTTGAGATGCCGACACCCTGTTGTGTTAGAATTCCACCCACTCCAACAACGGTCCCACTGAGCAGTTTCATGGTGCCTGAAACCCTGAACAGGTGGTAAAAGGGAAGACATGCTCAAATTCATTGACCTTCATTGGATTGTCTCTCCGATTAAAAATGATGTTACTGATGCACATATGATCATTAACCAAAAATATGTTATAGTTGAGGGATTATCCAAACAAAACCATTTCAACATCATAATTAAATCAGACATAAAACTTTGTAAAACATTGATATTCAATTAATAAATGCAGTTGCACTGAAATGTAAAATCTCTGTTCATCAATCTTCAGATACAGTACCAGTCAAAAGTTTGGACACACCTACTCATTCAAGGTTCTTTCTGTTTTTAAACTATTTTTACATTGTAGAATAATAGTGAAGACATCAAAACTATGGAATAAAACTTATGGAATCATGTAGTAACCAACAAAGTGTTAAACAAATCAAAATACATTTTATATTTGAGATTCTTCAAATAGACACCCTTTGGCTTGATGACAGCTTTGCACACTCTTGGCATTCTCTCAACCAGCTTCACCTGGAATGCTTTTCCAACAGTCTTGAAGTAGTTCCCACATATGCTGAGCACTTGTTGGCTGCTTTTCCAACATTCTGCCGTCCGACTCATCTCAAACCATCTCAATTGGGTTGAGGTCGGGGGATTGTGGAGGCCAGGTCATCTTATGCAGCCCTTACACAGCCCGGAAGTGTGTTGGGTCATTGAAAAACAAATGATAGTCCCACTAAGCCCAAACCAGATGGGATGGCGTATCGCTGCAGAATGCTGTGGTAGCCATGCCGGTTAAGTGTGCCTTGAATTCTAAATAAATCACAGACAGTGTCACCAGCAAAGCACCCCCACACCATAACACCTCCTCCTCCATGCTTTACGGTGGGAACTACACATGCGTAGATCATCCGTTCACCCTCACCGCGTCTCACAAAGACACGGCGGTTAGAACCCAAAATCTCAAATTTGGACTCCAGACCAAAGGACACATTTCCACCAGTCTAATGTCCATTGCTCGTGTTTCTTGGCCCAAGCAGGTCTCCTCTTCTTATTGGTGTCCTTTAGTAGTGGTTTCTTTGCAGCAATTCGACCATGAAGGCCTGATTCACACAGTCCCCTCTGCACAGTTGATGTTGAGCTGTGTCTGTTACTTGAACTCTGTGAAGCATTTATTTGGGCTGCAATTTCTGAGGCTGGTAACTCTAATGAACTTATCCTCTGCAGCAGAGGTAACTCTGGGTCTTCCATTCCTATGGCGGTCCTCATGAGAGCCAGTTTCATCATAGCGCTTGATGGTTTTTGCGACTGCACTTGAAGAAACTTTCAAAGTTCTTGAAATGTTCCGTATTGACTGACCTTCATGTCTTAAAGTAATGATGGGCTGTCATTTCTCTTTGCTTATTTGAGCTGTTCTTGCCATAATATGGACTTGGTCTTTTACCAAATAGGGCTATCTTCTGAACACACCCCCTACCTTGTCACAACACAACTGATTGGCTCAAACGCATTAAGAAGGAAATACATTCCATAAATTAACTTTTAAGAAGGCACACCTGTTAATTGAAATGCATTCCATGTGACTACCTCATGAAGCTTGTTGAGAGAATGCCAAGAATGTGCAAAGCTGTCATCAAGGCAAAGGGTGGCTATTTGAAGAATCTCAAATATAAAATATATTTTGATTTGTTTAACACTTTTTTACTACATGATTCCATATGTGTTATTTCATAGTTTTGATGTCTTCACTATTATTCTACAATGTACTTTTTTTATATATATAAAGAAAAACCTTTGAATGAGTAGGTCTGTCCAAACCTTTGACTGGTAGTGTACATGTAACCTACATTATAACCTACTTAGCTCTGGTTCCCAGTGTAAAACGATGGATATTGTCTCAAGAAGCCCCATCCGTCTTCCACAACTGGCTAAAAAGATATTCACATAAATCATCCCTTCTCGTTCAAGCAGCATGGACCCAAATACAGATTCCTGGAGCTGCAACCACAAAATGACATACAGCTGCAGGGAATGGTTTCTTCTTAAAAAAAAAAACATGAGCTTGAGCAAACTATTCTGGTATTAAGATGCTGCTGCCACTGATAAATTGCGAGTCTTTCAGCTGAAGCAAAGGAATCTTCACTGGACAGAAGCACTGAGGAGAAGCATGCTGGAGCATCAATCTATAGTGAATAGTTTGCTGGGGCTGTCAAAATCTGAGCACTCACACATTTATAACTCTTTAGATGAAGACTGAAGAAACCCTCCCTGAATAACAACTCACCACATGTCCCCGTCTGCTGTCGCAATTGATTCATTAATAACATTAGGCAAAATATTTCCTCAAGGATAGTCTATCAAAATGATTGAGACGCGCTTATAAATGAACAAACTGGCAAATAATCATAAGTGTGATGCTATAAAGAGGTAGACTTCACCCCAATACAAATCAGGAGAAAAGTTATTATGCTGCCAAGACTTGAGCGACAGACAGCCTGTCATCCATTTGTGCACAGAATGTCTGGCATGACACTCATTCTTATTAATTTATGCACCCATTATGTGCCTCTCTACTGTGCTTTCTCATTGCTGTCACTCTTTCTTTCTGCTTATCACTTGAATACCAACCTTTTAGTTACCATGGCTTCATTAACACAACATCTCTCTTCTCTCTGACAGTAGAAAGTGGTTTTATCCAAAAACATTAAATGGGCCTCAAAATAGCATTATCCACCATTAATAACCTCCAGCATCAGACTATATCAGAAAACACAAATGTGTAAGGGTTGGTGTGAGGTGTGACCCAGGTGCAGTGCAGGATAGACAGTAGGCAGTAGGCAGAGATGGTGAAACAAGGATCTTTACTGGTGGTCCCAAAACCAGGATACAAAATAACGGACTTGTCACAAAAAAATAAAGGAGGAGCTAATTGGTCTCCAAAAACAGGCTGACAGCAAACATACGAAATACTAACTATGACTGAAAACAACAATGAAACAGGGAGAACACTTCTCAAGTACCTGTACATACGTCTCGCGATCAGACACTGATTAGTACTGTTTGGCATCGAGAACTAGCAGAGAAAACTGAGCAAGGGAACACAGGGAAGTGAGGGCATAAATACACAGGTGAACAGGTAGACACAGGTGACACCAATAAGATAATGATTAGTCCAAACTGTGAGTGAGGAGGTGCCTAAGGTGGTTGGAGGATGACACCTAGTGGGTCGCTCCGGAACTGCGACCCCCTCCTGTAACACAAATGGACAGTCCAAAATGTGCTTGTGTAATATGCAGGTACTGAACACTGAGCAGGTGGGCTGCGTGTGAAAGAAACAGCCATTAGCACCTGTAGCTAAACACTACTGGTGGTAGACGAGAGATATAAATAAATCAGGGTAACCTCCTTATAATGTACACATCCTTAATGCTCCACTTTACTGGCTCTTAGAGTTGAGGTAAGGAAAATAGCAGAATAGCGAGAAATCACTTCCCGTAATGTAGTTGTTTAGTACATATGCATTATGAATGCAGCAAAATGCCTTGGCTTTGTGAAAATGTTAAGTGAAATTGTTTGGGGTGGGGGTGAGCCTTTGGAGCAGTGATTTTCTATGCTATGATTAATTGACTTCCCAACATCTGGCACTAGAATGAGTGTGCCGTCTTGAATATATGCTGCCACATGTAAAAGTCATATTTTTATTTTGGAACAGTCAACGGTGTAAGACAGTGCCAGGCTTTACCTTCTGTGAAGCGACAGGGTATGTTTGGTTTTAGTGTTTATCTAGTAGTAGAGCATTATCCATTCTTGTTTATCTCACAAGCTGTCATTGTCCAATCAATTATACCATCAGATACAGTAAAAAATAAGCTAAATCAAAAGTGCCTGAAATAAACCTACAAATATTTCATCGTAATAGTCTTGCAAGTAGTTTAATAGAGTCTGCGGGGAGCATTATTGAAATAAAAATAGCAAATTGGTGCACAGTTGAATGGTTATGGACATCTGAGCATTTGCATTTAATGAGTAGGAGTCATATTGTCGATCATGCAAGACATTTCTTTCCTTCATAATCAAGGGTGGTCGAGAGCTGCTTCGAAGCGGGAAATCAATGCAGTCTAATATCCCCACCGCCATGTATGTCTCCTACCCCTGCCATTTTGAAAGTGCTCTTAAATATATCTAAACCTCTTCAATGAATATTTTTACCAATACCTCCCTCATTTTAAATGAGAAAGTTGCTGTTCCCGCCCAGCGGCCAGGATTCTTCCTCTTGTGTTGTGCAATTTGAAGTGGTTTTGGCTCCGGTTTATTACAACCTCCTCAGATGAGTCGACCCCAATGTCTGAGCCTTCGATAGCACCACTTGTTTCCTCGAGTGTTGCCAAGGCAATGGTCTGCACAAGCAGAAGTCGAGAAGGAGGGGCTACCAGTGCCACAACTGAGATATTGAGGACAGAGGGATTGCGAGTCAGTCAAATCAACTACTGGATTTACTTTCTTCTTCATGCCTTCTTGGAGGCAGCAGGAAACTTAAAACGTACAAAAGTGATGCTGAATTTCCTCAGCATACTTTTAATACATTGTGTAGACAGGTATAATTGAAAATGTGCACAAAACATGGGAATGGAATCTTTAGAAGTATTAAGAGGATGAGAACTTTCTTCCACACTTAAATTGACTGCACCTGTGCATGCATTCTGCCATCTGTATTTTAGATGTTATGTGAAACCAAATATAATGTGATGATTGTATCTTCATTATAGATTACCCTGGTTAAATGAACTGGTAAAAACCTGATGTGAACCTGTTTTAATTTCACAAAGTTGCAATGCCACAGATGTTCTTTGATATTCATGAACAACTGCCTGGGTTGGATGCTAGCGATACCTCTCACTTTCATCTCTCCCCCTGGGTCTTCCTCAAGTGTCTCTTTGCATACAGCGTGAACAACACATCTGAGACATGGTGCTCTCGCTGACGATCACAAATGATTTTGCATGCCTGAAAGGCCAAAATTATCTTTCTGCATAATAGATGAAGTTATCAAACTTGCCAACACATAGGTTTTTTACTATGTTAATACAATGCCTACTATCATAATTAATTATAGTAATGTAATGTGTGTGAAAATGAGATAAGAAAATGACAGCATTTTTGTCAAGTAGGCTATGACTTGTTAATTGACCAACTTCTATTTCTCAGATGTTCTTCTAAAAACATAATTTATATTGAACATGTCAGTAAGGAAAGAGTAATACAAGGTATTTTCCACGACTAGACAATCTTTTTATGTGAGTATCCCATCCTGTCTGCATCATGATGGCCATTAGCAATGAGAGGTGCTTTGATGTCATACTTCAGATGCATGGAGCTCTCAGGAGGTTTTAACAGCTGTTTCCCCCTCAAACAACATCTGTATGTGAGCCTGACACTCCTACGATACAGTGAAAAACTCAAGAGACTACCCGAGTCAAACTCATTGGAGAATGGGTAAGCTGTTTAATATTGGTAGATCTTTAATCAACATTGAAGTGAACAGGGAAATAAAGATCACTTGCTGTAAGCAACAAAGTACTGTAAGCAAGAAAATATGAAAAGTTGTGTTGTCTACCTACACGTTAACATACAAGGACACAAAATGTAAGAAATGTGAATGAAGTGGCAACCCACTGGGCACACACTGGTTGAGCCAACGTTGTTTCCACGTCATTTCAATGAAATCATGTTGAACCAACGTGGAATAGACATTGAATTGATGTCTGTGCCCAGTGGGAAGGGACCATCAAGGGAAGCAAATGAGCTCAACCAAACATGTGTTCATGTATTTCCATCTCTTTGATAGGGTATCAAATACATGAGAACCAAAACTGCTTAGTGTCCATGATGGTGCAACACTGGGACATTGAGATCAGAATGAAGATGCTGCCTACTGGCCCAGTAACACAACTTCCTGCATCAACACTCCCAATTATGTCTCCCTCCTCCCAAGGTGTGCACTTGTTCACTTGACCACTGATTTGAAAGGAAATAATTGGTATAAGAAATAGGGTGGAAACTCCCTCTAGCCAATTCCTCCACCAATCCAATGCTTTTAGCTCTGTGGCAAGTAGTGAATGAGTGTACACTTCAGGAGAAAGGAGATCATTATTGGGAAGCACCCATGTTTTTTTTGCATAGTCCCTTAAAGCAGCTGGAAGCGCAACATTAACAGAGACGTATGAGAAAAAGGTTAACTTCTCAGCTTGATTCAGATATAAGTGGCCTTTACAGACTCCAGAAAATGAGTAACATGTATTTTTGTTACAAGACAGCGTAAATGTAGCCTATGGAACACAATGAAACAATGAAGACACCCAATCCCATGTGGAGGAGACCCATGTAACAATCTACTGACCCAAGTACTTCTCAATGGAGCCATGACAAAATTTGTGTCAAATGTACAGTCAAGTACCACTTGACATTTTTACAGTGCTACTCTAAAACAGGAAAAAATTGTAATGTGGTCATCTTATGGTAATAGAGAGACTGAACCTGGCCTTGATTAATTTTAAAACCATAACACTACAAAGCTCTTATTGCCTGAATGAGCGCACAGATTGGTTTGGATCTTTGATATACATGGACACTACATACAGTATGCCGTATTTCTGCTAGTGCAGGTCCTTGTGACTCTTCTCTGCAGATTCTTAACTCCGAAAATGGAACCCACCAAATCCTGACTTTGGGGCAAACACTGAGTAGTTCAAATCTCGGCACCAATGAACTTGTACTGACTTCAGAGAGAGAGTGCTACTGCTGAAGAGACAGGATGCACATGTACGCAATAATAGCTATTGGAAAAATAGCAGTAGCAATGAAATGTATTTTCAAGAAAAAAATGCAGTACTAATATTAAATGGTGGTATTTCACAAGTGAAGTTGACAAAGGTCAGGTGATGTTGACAAGGTTCATAGTCACCTTTGTCAACTTCACTTGAAATACCACACCAACACTGGTTATTTATGTGTATCAATAAATATATATATATATATATATTTTTTTTTTGGTTACTTTTTGTTGGTACCACTTATCTTTGAGTGTTTGCAGCAATAGGGTAAATATGAAGATATTTAATTTCATGTTGATTGCATTTCCCTTGTTTGTGGTACAGCATCGCTTTAAGAGGCCACATCCGAGATACATATCACCAGTCATCATTATTTCTGCTGAAGGAGGCAACGTTGCTGACATTGCCAAGTTGCATTAGAGTCACGCCAAGAAAAACAAGGGGACACAATCTAGGACATGCTGTCTAAAATCATCTGAAACAACTTCAGATAATCCACAGTGAGCCAGAGAAGTGCTCCTATAAGACAGTGTAATGCTTTCAAATCAGAGGGCTCTCACACACTAACCCAGGATTCTCTAACCCTGATTCGCCTTTTATTCACACCAGCACATAGTGGCAACTTACCAGGAGCATCTGTTCACATTGGAAACAAATAGGGCTGGGTAATAAAGAGACATGTTCACTTACACACTATCATATCAATGAACAGCACTGCAACAAACTATGATAAGGCATGATTTTTCTGGGCAATCACGTATGATTTCTCAAAGACATACACTAAAATCCAAATGGTAAATGAAATGGCTCAGTGCTGCACGTGTGCATGCTGTGTGTTCGGTATGACGGGTACCGTAAGTGTTTTGAGACAAGCATGATCCCTCACCGGTCTTACAGATGGGGCAGCACTGATCGGGCTCATACTCTGGGTCCACACACTCTGTCTGAGGGCATGCTGACACAGAGCACAACACCTCTCCACTCCCCTCACAGCGACACTTCTCACACGGAGACACCTGGGGGCAGAGAGAGAAAGACTATTTGTTTAAAAAATCTCTCTTTCATGCAAGCACTCACTCGCACACGCGCACACGCACACCACACACACACACACACACACACACACACACACACACACACACACACACACACACACACACACACACACACACACACACACACACACACACACACTCACACACACACTCACATACACCTGCCCGGCCACAAGCCAACATAATGACATTGAACATCAAACATTCAGCCACAAAGCTTAGAACACAGGAAGGTCCTATCTTACAGAACATTATTGGAAATAAATACTTAATTTGAAGGAGACTAGAAATGAACTTCAGTGCATGCACAATCAACCGAAAATGGGGAAATCAATGTGCTGATTGTGTGCTCAGTGGGGAACAGAAGATAGAAGCTTCCAATTTTGTTGCTTTGTGAACAAGAGAGAACAGTTTGTAGAGAGAACAGTTTGTTTGTTTAATGGAGCTTTCCATTTCTGAAAGTATTGGAGAAAAACAGGTCCGAAAGACTGTCTGATGCAGCTTGTGTCGACAATACACCTTCAAGCAAGTCACCCCCCTCGACTGGAGATGCTACCGCTGTAGGTTTCAGTCTGAAGCCACTCGTGACCATGTGAGCCTTTCCTTTTAATGAGAGACCATAGGTTTATCCTAACAGCATGGATCAAGTTGATTGCAGAGCGTCTCGAGCTTCGGCTTGGCATTCCACTGTGAAAACCGTCGAGAGAGAGACGCCACTTACTGTACTACCGCAGAACACAGCAATCAACCAGAAGGCTCTGCCTGTTGCTTTGCTTCTAATCCCCAAGGCAGGCATCCACAGAGGATAGTGCCATTTACTTTAGTGGAAGTCGGTCTCTCTCTCTCTTTCTCTTCTCTCTCTCTGTCTGTCTCTCTCTTTCCACAGACTTCTCCCAGCAGAGCAACAAGCTGTGCCTCTCAATACAGAGCTGCTTGTATCACTCCGCGTTAGCAGAAATAAATCCCATATTAGACCTAACCTCCTGGTGTGACCCTCCAGTGCTAGCACAAAGGGACGCATTAAACAGCCACATATAATACATTTTTGATCAAATATAGAATAGAAAGCTGATGGTATAGTTGTGGAAGGAGCTTCTACGAGAAATCAAGAGATAAGGCCTTTTGAGGTCCCCTGAGCTTGGCTTAAAATAGATAACTCCACAAAGACTAGCAAGTGTATCAAGATAAGAATATGAAGAAAAAAAGCTTAAACAGTACTATTCAATTCAGCAGCCCCAAGTAATATTCAAGCTTTGTGTGAATAAAATAAATGCTGATTTTTGCCATTTTAAATGTGCTTGGCTGCTTGTTTACTTGCTGCATTGAAAAGTATATTTGTCTTGGTATAGTGCTCACGATGAACCCAGTATACAACTGGCAGGCTATCAACAGTTTCCCTGATGAAGGTCTACTGAGACCGAAACGTTGGTAACAAGATACATTCAATCTGTGGCGCATGTAGATCACCAGTGTGCTGGAGTTTCTTTTCAATTCAGAGGTTGATCTCGTGAAGCACAGACTGTCAAAGAAACCCTATTTAACACACTGAAAATAAACAGCACCATGAAAAAAAGCTGCCTATGGATTGGTGTGTCAACATCACATGGGTTGTATTCATGTAGCCAAACGTTTTGCAACGGATAACAAACACAAGCATTTCTTATTGGACACGTTCAGGTAATCCCTTCCCGTTTTGGCTCGTTTGCTTTCGTTTGGTTCCTAGAGAATACTACCCTGTAAATCTTTAAAGACCTAATTTCCTGACTCACCTTAAACTCTTGTAGCGTTGTGTAGACCTTTCCCCTGAACTCACAGTAGTTCTTCTTCTCCTTGCACTCTGGACAGCACTGGCTGGTGTCCACCCGGATGCAGCGAGGGTGAACTTTGGGACATTCAGGCTTGGCACACAGGGGTCCCTCGTCCGTGCAGAGGCAAGGGCACGTGGAGGACCCCGGAGTAAATTTCTCCCCGATGGCAAACACAAAGCCACTCTCATCAATGCAGCCCTTCCCCCTGTAATCTGGATATGCGTACTCGTCGATAGCGTCAAGAGAGAGGTTTGTTTCACTCGTGGGGCCCTCGTCTACTCGACTCAGGCCCCCCTCTTGCTCTCCCCACAACTCCTGTGATGCCTTTCCACCCTTGGATCCCCCACGTTTCTGGGAGCTGGAGTTTGGCCTGGATCTGTTGACAGAGGTTCTATTGCTGGCCCCTCTGTTGGCCTCCAGGCCCATGAAGCTGATTTCCTCCAGCCGTTGTTGGGTGCTGTAACTGAGCACCCCCTCCGAGGCCTGCTGCTTGTCATGCTTGTCCTCTCTGGCCTGGGTCAGGACGCGCTCAAAGTGTTCCCGGCTCACCAACAAGTCTGCCACGGGATTACACTGAGTACTGGTCATGAGAAACCACATAACAAACAGGACTTCTGCTGTCATGGCAACAGAGTGCAGCATCTCTCCCCACCACCTGCAAGGTGGGATGACACCTTGGCTTCACATAACACACTTCACATCTCCGGTGTGAGCCAGTCCATCTGGAAAAAGAGAATGAAACCGGAATTAAGTATTTGACAGTATTGTCACATTTAGTATAGACATTGATATTGTCTCCTAGCCTGGTCCAAAATCAGTTTGTGCTGTATAGATGCGGTAAAGAGGTCAATGGAACACATACCGTGGGGGATAGAAGAAGGATGCCGGATTGGCGCACGTTTCAAGAAATCTGATTTAACAAAGTGGATATTCTTCAAATCCGTCATGATTGATGTATTGTAACAGGCCCACAGTGTGGTTACTAAAGTCCGATTTGGATATACAGGGTATTTGGCTGTTTTCGCTGCATAACATTTAGAAGTTGTCCTTTTTCAGGTTTAGAAGAAGTGACTGCTAAACGCTAACTCCCATTCGTATAAGCTGGTAGCATAGCTAGCATACAGAAATTAGTGGTGGTAGTCAAAGTCGTTTTTGAACTGTAATGCAGTTGATTGTTGACAGTGACATGAACATGTATTGGGGTTGACATCCATACAAGCATTATACTCTGATGTTTACCTCAACATAGTGTGAAATACACATATAAACAATAGACTACTTGTTGGCTAATTTTGCAGGGGGGCAATAAAGAGATTCGGGATCTTTCCCCCACGTGTTTCCATGACATTTTCATTGTTTTGGTCGAGTTCCATTGACCTCTTTGCGCATCTAGAACCAACTCCTCTGGTCGTTGTCACGGCCAAACATAGGAGTTGGCTATACAGCATAAACAGATATGACTAATTGTCTCCATGTTAGCCCCAATAATGGTAAGAATTCTGTTTTTTCATTGCAATGTCAGATCCTATCAAAGAAACACCTCACATGATCTAAAGAAAAGCCTATTGACTTGGACTGTATTCATATGGCCTATGTCAGGAAATCAATAGGCTTTCTTACATTTAACGCTTCCTTGCATCAAATACTTCCAGCAGAGATAGACTGAGGAGAAAATGGCCAAAAAAGAACTTGAATCTAACACTCTCACTCCCAACTCGGAACAAAGGAAAAATAATCAATGGATTCCAGTTGTAATAAATCAGAGAACTGTATACAGGGAGAAATTGATTAGAAAAGAGATCATGATTCTCTTCAGGAAGAATGAATTTACAATAGCTTGAAGAAATGACCAGACCAACTTAGATCAGTGAACAGTGTTGTAAAGAACATAAAAATGAAGTGTGCCATTATATATTCTATAACTTTGGCTCCTGTTTGGTGCAGTGGTCTCAATACTCCAGACACGGGGCCACCAAACTGCGGCTTACGGATCTGATGTGCCCCGCTGGCCAGGAGTTTGACACTACTAATGTAAAGGGAATCCAAATCAAGCCTTTGGATTCATTATTTATATTTGTCAAACAATGGCCATATCTGCCAAATTCAGTAATCATGATCTACCAAATTCAATATTCAAACAATGGTTGTGTCATGACAGTGTTCAGTTGTCATAACAGACACCAACTGTCATGACTATTTACTGTATGACATTTGCTAGGACCTTATCATGACACCACCATCCTAGGTAAGTACAGTGCCTTCAGAAAGTATTCATACCCCTTGACTTATTATTTTGTTGTGTTACAGCCTGAATTCAAAATGGATTACAATTAAAAAATAATTCACCCATCTACACACAATACCCCATAATGACAAAGTGAAAACATATTTTTAGAAATGTGTGCAAATGTATTGAATATATCATTTACATAAATATTCACACTCCTTCTACTTTGTAGAAGCACCTTTGGCAGTGATTACAACTGTGAGTCTTTCTGGGTAAGACTCTAAGAGCTTTCCACACCTGGATTGTGCAACATTTGCCCATAATTATTCTCTAAAGACCATTTTCAGGTGTTGCCATAGATGTTCAAATAGATTTAAGTCAAAACTGTTACTCAGCCACTCAGGAACATTCACTATCTTCTTGGTAAGAAACTCCAGTGTAGATTTGGCCTTGTGTTTTAGGTTATTGTCCTGCTGAAAGGTGATATAATCTCGCAGTGTCTGCTGTAAAGCAGACTGAACCTGTCACGACCGTCTTGAAAGGGAGCAGACCAATACGCAGCGCGTTGAGTGAACATGATGACTTTAATGAGTACAGCACGTAAATACAAAACAAAAGACGATAGTGAAGTCCAACAGTGACTAATACTGAACCTGGAACAAAAACCCACAACCCCAAGGTGAAAACACACAGTATAAATATGGCTCCCAATCAGAGATAACGAGCCGACAGCTGACACTCGTTACCTCCGATTGGGAGTCACTGACCAAACACGGAAACAAAACCAAAACCAAACACAACAAATGAACACACCCTAACCCAACACAACCAAATGAATACACCCTGGCTCAAACAACACAGTCCCGGAGCCAGAGTGTGACAGTACCCCCCCCTAAAGGCGCGGACTGCGACCGCGCCTCAATACGGGCTAAACAAGGGAGGGCTGGGCGGGCATACCTCCTCGGCGGTGGTTCTGGCTCCGGTCGTGGTCCCCACCCCACCATAGTCACTACCCGCTTTCGTCGCCTCCTCCAACTGACCCCCACCGGATTAAGGGGCAGCACCGGACTAAGAGGCAGCACCGGACTAAGGGGCAGCACCGGACTGAATGGCGGATCCTGGCTGGCTGGCTCTGGCGGATCCTGGCTGGCGGAAGGCTCTGGCTGATCCTGTCTGGCGGAAGGCTCTGGCTGATCCTGTCTGGCGGAAGGCTCTGGCTGATCCTGTCTGGCGGAAGGCTCTGGCTGATCCTGTCTGGCGGAAGGCTCTAGCGGCTCCGGTCTGGCGGACGGCTCTGAAGGCTCATGGCAGACGGGCGGCTTATGCAGCGCTTGGCAGACGGACAGTTCAGACGGCGTTGGGCAGACAGGCAGTTCAGGCGCCGTTGGGCAGACGGGCAGTTCAATCGCCGTTGGGCAGACGGGCAGTTCAGGCCCCGTTGGGCAGACGGCAGACTCTGGCCGTCTGAGGCGCACTATAGGCCTGGTGCGTGGTGCCGGAACTGGTGGTCCCGGGCTGAGGACACGCATCTCAGGGCTAGTGCGGGGAGAAGGAACAGGCCGGACCGGGCTGGCGACGCGCACCGTAGGTTTGGTGCGAGTGGCAGGAACAGGCCGGGTCGGGCTGGCGACGCACACCGTAGACTTGGTGCGGGTGGCAGGAACAGGCCGGACCGGGCTGGCGACGCGCACCGTAGGTTTGGTGCGAGTGGCAGGAACAGGCCGGGTCGGGCTGGCGACGCGCACCGTAGACTTGGTGCGGGTGGCAGGAACAGGCCGGACCGGGCTGGCGACGCGCACCGTAGGTTTGGTGCGAGTGGCAGGAACAGGCCGGACCGGGCTGGCGACGCGCACCGTAGGTTTGGTGCGAGTGGCAGGAACAGGCCGGACCGGGCTGGCGACGCGCACCGTAGACTTGGTGCGGGTGGCAGGAACAGGCCGGACCGGGCTGGCGACGCGCACCGTAGACTTGGTGCGGTCGGCAGGAACAGGCCGGACCGGGCTGGCGACGCACACCATAGACTTGGTGCGGGTGGCAGGAACAGGCCGGACCGGGCTGGCGACGCGCACCATAGACTTGGTGCGGGTGGCAGGAACAGGCCGGGTCGGGCTGGCGACGTACACCGTAGGCTTAGTACGTGGAGCAGGAACCGGCCGGGCTGGACTGGCGACGCACACCGTGGGTCTGGTACGTGGCGCAGGAACAGGTCGGGCTGGACTGGCGACGCACACCGTGGACTTGGTGCGGGGAGCAGGACTATGCCGGACCGGGCTGTGGAGACGGATAGGAGGCCTGGAGTGAACAGCGGCCACCACCCGTCCTGGCTGAATGCCTACCCTCACCCACTCTGTGTGAGGCATCCGCACAGGACGTACAGGGCGGTGTACCCCTGGCCTGGTGGCCTCCTGGATTCGCCCCATCTTTGCCTCCGTCGTCCATGCCGTGGGCTTGATGCGTGGAGTAGGAACAGGCCGGTCCGTACTGGGAACACACACCACTGGCCTTAACCGGGGATCAGGAACGGGCCGGTCCGGACTGGTAACACACTCTCTCACGCCGTGCCTCAACTGCTTCCCTCCCTCTATTCGCCAATGGCTCCCGTAATCCGGTAGCCTTCTCTCCACATCTCCCTGTGGCAGCCTCCTGCTGCCCAGCCGCCCAAGCCATGTGCCCCCCCCCAAAAACTTTTTGGGGTTGCCTCACGTCCTTCCAACGATGACCCTGCTGACGCCGTTGCTCCTCTCTCGCCAGGGCCTTGATCTTCCCCCAAGGTCCCTTGCCCCCGAGCATGTCCTCCCAGGACCACGATTTGCCCACCTGGGCCATCGCCAGCCTCTCGATCTCCTTACCAGGCGCCTCCTCCCATGTCCAGTCTCTTTGCTCCCGGACACGCTGCTTGGTCCTTTGATGGTGGGTTTTTCTGTCACGACCGTCTTGAAAGGGAGCAGACCAATACGCAGCGCGTTGAGTGAACATGATGACTTTAATGAGTACAGCACGTAAATACAAAACAAAAGACGATAGTGAAGTCCAACAGTGACAATGACTGAACCTGGAACAAAAACCCACAACCCCAAGGTGAAAACACACAGTATAAATATGGCTCCCAATCAGAGATAACGAGCCGACAGCTGACACTCGTTACCTCCGATTGGGAGTCACTGACCAAACACGGAAACAAAACCAAAACCAAACACAACAAATGAACACACCCTAACCCAACACAACCAAATGAATACACCCTGGCTCAAACAACACAGTCCCGGAGCCAGAGTGTGACAGAACCAAGTTTTCCTCTAGGATTTTGCCAGTGCTTAGCTCCATTCCGTTTATTTTTTATCCTGAAATACTCCCCAGTCCG